TTGTTGGTTTTTTTGTTTTCAGGGCTGTTTCTAAGGCCAGGGGGAGACCCCCGAGGTTGGGGACGCGAACTTCTTTTTCTTCAACAATAGCAGCGGCGGGTTCAACAACAGCAAGGCGTTGGTGAGCTGCGTTATGGGGTGGGGGGGGAGGTGTGTGTATAGATGTATTTTTAGACATTGGTGAGCCGCGTTATGGGGTAGGGGGGGAGGTGTGTGTATAGATGTTTTTTTAGACAGGATTTTTTGGCTTGAACGACAGCAGGGGCTGGTTCAACAACACCAAGACGGGAGGGGACCCGCGTTAGCCAGAAGACAAACACATGCTGTGTTTAGCAGGCAGGGCCCTAGAAGTACTTGTACTATTTAGTCCAAGGCGTTCCAGGGTCGGGGCGAGCAGCAGCGGGATGTGTGGGGGGGGGGGGGATCGTGTTTTAGATATAATCTGTGTTGGAACAACCTCGGCTGGGTTTTGGGGGTAGAGGGTTATGTTCTCGCTGTTGAAAATGGAACCATGACATCGATGTCGCTCAAACCCCATTCTGCCCGGATACGGGGACGTCGGACATATCGACGCATGTATTGCTTCACTTCGAGCGGAGAGGGTGGACATTTTTCTCTCTACGATTCCCTGCATGGTTTTTGCCTCGACGTATGCGCAAATCTCTGATATTTCTCCCAGTACAAATTCGTTTTGAACTGAATTTGGTTTAGCACCATGCGTCCGCGATTCTGGTGTGTCGTGTTGTGCATCAATCCGGATCCAGGCCAGTGTTTTTGTATTGTATTTCCTGGGAAACAGGGTTGGTTGTGAGCAGGGTGAAAAACGCCACCGAAGTACCACGCCTTCGCGTTTGTTCTTTTTTCTTCTTCTTTTTCGAGACAGTCCCAACGGTTACAGGGATGCGAGGTCAATGGTCTAACGGCTACGATATTTCTCGATTCTGGTCGTCTAGGCTCCTGAAAATGCTCGAAAATAATCCCAGGAACAACGGGAGAATCCTCGTCACGCCTCTCATTTGTTTTTTTTTTGCAGAACAATCCCGACGAGCACTCCCTCGAGTCCAGGCTCCTGAAGAAGCTCAAGAACGATCCGAGGAACAACGGGAAAATACTCGTGACCCTTGAGCACATCGCGGAGTGGCAGCCCACCTGCTGGGAGCGGCGGTCGTACAAGTACAGCGAGTGAGCATGGTGGTGGTGGACTAGGTTTGGTGGTGATTTTATGTTGTTGATGATGGCGATGGTGGTGGTGTGTGATGGGTGCTTGCTGTTGTTGCTAAATAGTGCCTGCTGCTGCCGTTGTTGTTCTGCCTGACCCCGTGAGCTTGAGAGACATGATTTCACCACTAGCTGTACTACGTGTGTGCCGTTATCAAGTCATGGTCCGTCGTATGCCGTCGCAGTGACGTCATAGTTGTTCGCTGTTGATCTCACGACTACTCTGTACCACTTGGAAGCAATTGCCGTTAAGAAGTGTAGGGTAGTCTCACGAAAGATCATGACACAGACCAAAACGGAGCAGCGTGTCAAGCAATATCCACAAAGAAAAAGGAGCTGAGTTACTTTTTTTTTTGCATGTGGTGTTTTTTTCTTCTTCTTTTTTTGCAGCAACACGAGGAGAGCAGCCACTTACGCCGCCAAGGAGCTCGAGTTCTGGGAGTACACGGTAAGTTATTTTCTTTGTTGTGTGTCCCATGGTGTAGTAGGTTTTCCGCTCTCGGTCGACGACTAACTAGCTTAACCTCGAGAATGTTCGGGATGCAGCAATCAACGTGTACGTCGCCACACAACACGTCGCCTCTGAAACAGCGTTGGTTGCACTTGGAGGTGGTGAGCCAAAGAAAGTATCAAATGTTAACCCGCTCGTTACGTCATCCAAAGCGTTGTGTTATGTTGCTTAAGCAGGCGGTGAGCCAAAGTCAGTGCCAATGTCACCCCGCTCGTGACGTCATCCAAAGCGTTGTGTTATGTTGCTTAAGCAGGCGGTGAGCCAAAGTCAGTGCCAATGTCACCCCGCTCGTGACGTCATCCAAAGCGTTGTGCTGTTGTGTTGTGTCGTTATTATGCTGCTTTTGCAGGTGGTGAGCCAGTGGGAGTGCCCCGGTTGCACGTCCATGAACTCGGACGCGGTCAACGACTGCGTGGTCTGCGGGACCTACTGCAGCGGCAAGCGCAACTCTAAGCGACTCTGAGCTGGCAGCGCTCATGTGTGGTGTGGAGTAAGTACGCGGGCAGCATCGTTTCGACGGTGGTCGGAATTGTTGTCGGATTATGATTTCTTCTGGGGGATGTAGCTAAGCCATTGAGGATATTCGGGGGGAGGGGGGGGAGGGGGGGGGCACAGATCAGTATATTAGCGTGGGGAGGTCTCCGCGGCAGTAGGCCTCGGAACGACTCTGAGATAGCGTAGGGAAGATTAGTTAGGCAGGCGGTAGGACGCGTTTGAGACGGGTGCCTCCGGTAAGAACGACTTCGTAAGGATAAAGGCTGCACGCACGTGCGGGGTGTGTCGGTTGTCCGCTCGTGGCGAGAAGTGGGGAGTTATCCTTGTCGCGGAA